ACAGTCCTGTGGCCCGTCCCGGGTCAACATTTCATTCAGTAACATTAGGCATTTATATACTGTTTAATATTGATGATGATTGATGATGTTAATATTGATATTTGCATATGCTTATGCTTACATATGATATCGCTTGTTTCTGAGTCTTCTTCGCCTGTGTTTTGATCGGGAGATTCAGTACTCTTTTAGAAGTTGTTTAATAGCGCCCCCTCCCTTGCAACAATGAAAACACGGAAAGCCGGAAGTTTCTGTCAATAGCGGGAAAGCGTTTTATGGAATTTTACGTGAAAAGTGGGAAAAGATTTAATTAATTTGTTGTATAAAGTGCTATATAAATAAATGTGACATGACTTTACTGATTTCAGAGCTGGTGCAAACATATCCACCTCTCTGTGATCAGATGCTTTCTTAACAAATGTTTTCTCACAGCAGTCATTTTTGTTGTGTTTATTTTGTTAAAGAGAGGAAAGCGTGCAGCACATATTTACATATTCATCTAAACAGCGCTCTCAGCAGTGTGAGCGGCGTCAGGATGTTCACAAACAGTATAAGCGTTTATATAACTTTACAACACAATCCTGGAGGGTCACATTTCCTCTTCCATAAGAGCTCAGATCAACAGAAGAGCTCTAATCTGTGAGAGATGTCTCTGTTTCCTCCCCTCCATCAGCACATTTGTGTAGGTTTCCCGCTAGAACAATATCTGAATCACTCCCTTCAGATGGGAGCGCTTTAGTCAAAACAAATGCTGGCGTGGTGTCAGTGCATCCCCTTTCAGTGCCAGAGATTTGCGGTAGGGGGCCGTCAGCAGATGCTGTAAGCATACAAACATGAATTCTGTTGCCAGCTCCTCATGACCCGGACTGGTGAAGAAGTGAGAAGGGTCTGCTCTTGACTGGAAAGCAATCAAACCTTGACTATGAAGGTCTCGTGAACACATGTCAGAATAATGTGTGTTCTGCTGGGAAGTGCTGGGCTGTTCACTGTCTCCATTGAAGGGCTAAAGGAAGTTCTCTTTGCATTTATATCTACACTTAGTTTGTTTAGGCCACTGATTTTCATGAAAAATACCCTACTTTTATAACTAAACCATAATGTTGACATGTCATGTGTGGTTTTCTTGTGGTTTACAAATGTAAGAACAAGGGTGAAATTTAATGAGCAAATACAAAGTTAAGGGCTGTATTAGTATTGTGTCTAGTGTAAAGAAATCACGTCATGTCATATGGCTGAATTGGTAAAAAAAAAAAAAAAAAAAAAAAAAAAAACAGAGTGTACCTATCGATTATAGCATCACCCTTTAAATCTACCGCCAAGGAATTACTGAAAGTCTGCCATGATGGGAAGGTAATTGAGTTATTGAAGAAGGGAAAACGTTCCCCACTTCTCCCAGGAGAGCTTGAGCCTGTTGCTGTCTTTCAATTATCTCTTCTGCCATCTGTTTCTTCCAAGTAAACACACACACACACACACACAACGGCAATAGTCCATCAACTGAAGCCACATTTTCCACCCTGCAATGCGAGCAGCTAAAAAATGTTATTCTGAAATCACATGGATGGAAAATGCCAATGTCACTAAAATACAGTCTGCAGTGAGTATGACTGACTTGTAAGAAATACACCTATCTTTTAAGTAAACAATGTTGTTCTCACTGTTAATCTCATTTATAATCCTTCTTTAATGTTGACTTTTGCTACAAAAATTCTCATGTGCTTGTATATATAGGACTGTGCAAGCTTTCGGGGTGTTAAAGAAAGGATTTTCTCAGCCTTCTGATAGTTTGTTGAGTTTGGCTGAGTTTGTTTAAAAGCAGAGGTTCTGTTATTTCTTTTGATATGTTTTGTGTTCTGATATTCCAACACAATCTCACAGTAATTCATAACGATTTCTTTGTATATTTTGTAACACTTTACTTGAAGGGGTGTGCATAAGACTGACATGACACCTTCATAATCATGACAGGACACGTCATGAATATGAAGGAGGTTTTATGCATGTTTATGACGACTGTCATTAAGTGCCATTTGCTCAATTATGACATTTTTAATGTAGATATGACATCGTTTGAGATGCATTTGACATAAACCATATATGATAACCAGTCAGTGTCTCGGTAATGACAACTTGACATTACCAAGACAACATAAATTGTCATAAAAATGCCATAAACATGACACAGCAGATTAATTATCAAAATTAAGCAACTACTCATCTTCAAGGGTTAACTTTACATTAAATGGTTTTGACATTGGCTGTCGTGAGGCCATTAAAACTGTGTCGTGAATATTTTTCTTGACCCCAACTACAGTGGTACAAATTGAATTTAAAAAAAATATTTTGGGGGCCATGAAAGTTTTTTGAAAATGATAAACATTTAACTGGGCGGCAGTGGTTCATGTAGGTTGTCTACAAACCGAAAGGTTGGTGGTTCAATCCCCGTTTCCACCTGACCAAGTGTCGAGGTGTCCATGAGCAAGACACCTAACCCCAGCTGCTCCCGACGAGCTGGATGGCGCCTTGTATGGCTGACACCGTCGTCGGTGTATCGCTTTGGTGACCATTAGGTCTATGAAAGCGCTATATAAATGCAGTCCATTTACCATTTAACTGGTGGGGAAAGAGTTAAATTTCTCCTGCATTGAGAACTGCATTGCCCATTATGCTTGATTAAAACATATGAATAAGCTCAGAGATTACGGGCACCCTGGATTTTCTCACACCACGCCATAGCAACACAGCTGTAAGGATCTGGTAACAGTTTATCGAGCGAGACAACAAGAACGCACAGCATCACTAACGTGGAGGATCTCAAGTGCTATTCAGTCGATGAGTCTGAATCCTAGACCGTAATTACTCAAGAGATGGAACAGCCTTTAACAGAAGAATTGAAATCAATAATTGTCAAATTAAAAACATTGAATGTCCAGCATAATAGAATTTCTTGTGCGTAAAAACGAGTCAGAGAATTACCAAATCTGCAATTGAATGATGGCTGGAGGGAGTCAAGGAGCTAAATGTCATCAGAGGCAAAGCTTTAATGAAATTCGGAGAAAAATGTATATGCCGTTTAATATCGAGTACTTGCCTGATTCAAAGCTGTGGGGTTTAATCGAGGCCAATATGTAACATCATTGATTGAATTCAGGGGAGCAATAGGTCTTGATGATCAGCGTAACTTAGCTGGACTTTACTGCTTTTCTAACCAGAATTCCACTGCACATGACAAGTAGTTAATACCTCCCAAAGATAAAGAAATAATGAAACTTTTTCAGTAAGTCCACTGTGCACAATATGTACATTTCTTGGATTTATGGAATAACTGAATGAGCACGTACATGTGAAACCTTATAGCACTCAACAAAAAATGCATGGAATAATATATCCAGCAATACAGTGCACTTAAACTGACTTTCCTGGACGAAAATTAATTTATGATTTATGAATTAGACATTCATCAGAGTGATGTCAACAATGTAGCATACTAGGTAGCTTACTAGAAGAATAGATGTATTATGGGTGGAAGGAACACAAACAGACAGATCTATTAAAAAGACAAATTGTTCAGATTCTACTCTTTAACTCTTTTTTATTTCTGTTTGACGGGTCATGTAAATATGGCAGTCTATCCTCGTTAATTTCTTATTTGATACATGGGTGGGTCTTATTTTATGGAAAATGTGTGGTTTACACTACGCTACGCTAAACACCAGTTCTCAAAGCTATTCTGTGGAGATCCAGTGTAAAAAATACCCCATCCTTTAAAATACGACTAGATGTCACAAGGAACGTCTACCGAATGAATGTTTCACATAGACTACATCATTATATCATTACATCATGTCTCTGAGGCTAATTTGAGACTTAATGATGCAAGAGCCTCAATAGAAGCCACTACACCTCCAGCCGCTGTGAAGGTTTATTTATCCATGTACACAAACTACGTGTATTGACTTTGACCATTCAGGATGTTTCAGGCATTATATTTAGCTTTAAGTGTGGCTAATAGTCTGCTAGGAAAATGGCATCTTATCTCTGGCTCTTTGTCAGTGTCCATAACAGATCCAGCTTGAATAGTGAGCTAATGTTGTAGCAGAATTAGCCTGTCCCTTCCGCCTGTATGTTGGCCATTTTAAGGCTATCTCTCTTTAGATAGACCTGCCATTGAATACAGCTTGAGTAACCCTGACGAGAGCTGCTCTCTAATTGGACGAGAAGTGCAGGGGCCAGATATCCCACGGAGGGCGCCGAAACAACAGAGACATCAAAGTGGAGGACACAGAACCCAAATTAATTGAGTGTGAAGGGTTTTCGAGAGGTTTTTTTTTTTTGATAGCGTTTGAGGGCAGTATTACAGCATGCCCTATTTCTCCATGTAGCTAGAGCTTCTATAACAAACCTCTGCTGTATTTGATGAACTCATTTGTATTCATCCATCATTGCGAGCTTCCTAAGTCTGAGAGTCACAGATACACAGAGGTCTGGGGCTCATTCTCCCACAGCTGCTGTATCTGCCACAATACTGCCTTAAACCTGCGCCCTACTCTTCCCTCTGCCTTTCAAAACCTCTCAAAAGCAGCTGGCCAGGTGTCATGGCGCTAATCGCGGGGACAAAGGCAACGGCTTGGCCTGCCATTGTGCACAGGCCAGGTGCCCAGGCTTGATTACTTCCACATATGGATATTTCCGAGGACAATTAAGAAAGAAATGCAAGCCAAGTCGATCGAGTTAAGTGGCATTTGCTTTATTCTTTGCAGTGTCCTTTCTCTTCCATGCCTTTCCCTCAGCAGAATGGAGATCAGTGTTATAATTATGAACACCTGTTCCCATTTTCTGAAAATTTGCATGCCTTGAAACATGCAGATTATAAATTAAATGGGCATGAAAAATATGTTGTCCTTTGCTGTACACCCCTTGATTTCCTTGAAAGCACATGATGTCCAGTGGGTTTAACAGTAAAAACTAATAACTCTTACAGAAACTTAGTAAGCAGGTGTTACCTGATGGAAAGTGCTCGTTGATTGGCCAGTTGTCCACCTGTAAGGTGGCGTTTCCCCCGTTCCTTGTGAAGCGCACCACATGATATTTCCCATCATTGACATCTGTAGTCAACTCTTTGACGCTGATGTCCACTGTACCGATGTTGAACGTTACGCCCACCTTTCCTTCTTCCTGGAATAGAAACAACACAATCTTGTCAGTCTAGCAACACCAAACGTCTGATTTAACTTAGTGCAAAGGGATTAGGGATACTGATCCGATACCGAGTCTAGATATTTGTCTGATACGATATTTGTCTTTTTGACGGATAAGGCATCAGTTAGATAGTCAGTAAGCCTTAGTTGTTACTCTTTCAAGCTAAAAAAAAGGACCTACTTAGTGTAGTATATTTCAAATCTTCTGAAGTCATTAAATCAGTTTATTTGAGGAACAGAAAACATATTAAAGGGATAATCCACCTCTGGAAAGATGAATGTGTATTTAAAATGGGTAATTTATGTGGAAGAAATGTGAAATTATTTTTGAATTTGGAGCTTTCTAGACTGAGAAAAGATGTGGATGAAAGACAACAACTCCCAGAGTGCACTTGCTTCGCTGCCCTAGGAGGCCACGCCTACCGGTAACAGAGCGCAGTCGTTAAACAAGTCTAGGCTACTAGTGAGTCTCCGTGATGAGTCTGCCCGAAAATGTGTTTCGAGATCGCCCAAAATGTCCGGGATTCAGCATGTTTACTGTGGTGATCAGGACGAGTGAGGGCCGCGGGAGAACGGTGCGAGGCCGGTGGCGTGATTACCGATGAGCGACACCTGTGAGACGCACCGGTCGCGTATCTCTCACAGAGGAGTGGGAATTTTCTTAGCCATGTTAAAACGCACATCAACCGTCACTTGTTTCAGATTCACCAATCAGAATGAATTCAGTTAGATTGAAACAAAAGCTGTACATGTAAACAATGCATGGCGACTGCAGAAAGCAAAAGCTGAATCCCGGAAATGACGATTTTTGCTTCATTGTAGGAGGAAGTGAAAAAGGTAAATAGCAGATTTCCCTCGTCTCAGGGGAAAATGAAAGAGTGTTGCACGACCAATCAATAGTATAAGTGGGTTTCTAACAATGGAAAGCGCAAATGGGTGGAGTGTCTCTTTAAGCTGTTAAATCTAAGTTAACGGAAATGGAATTTAAAACTCTGATGGCAAAGGCTCAGTCAATTTTTAGACAGATGCACTCTGTTGCACTTTATTTTCTTTATTTGTTATATCTATAATGAATAATTGTGTAATTGACTCTGTGCACGAGAAAAATGCTAACTTCCGCCTTGAGGGCGGATGTTGGGTACTTCGGTTCCGGTTGCCGTTGTTTACATCCTAAATCAGTGGACCGGCTATCTAAAGCTTAGCTATCTAAATATATTTGTCTAAAACTATGTTCGTTTGTTCATTGTCAAGTCAACCAACACAGTTTTCACTCATATTTGGGTGGAGCCAGGCACTGCTGCATTGTGAAAAGTAAACGATATTTCACATTTTGTCACCGCACCCAAGCAGTCGCTTTACAGAGTGGAGCGTTGCGTATCCATGACAACTAGAAGGAAGTTTTTAGGCTACTAATTATTTATTATATTATACCCTTTAACCAGGAGAAGCCCCTGGGTTTAGAACCTATTTTGAAAGGGATACCTGTTTAGAAATATGTGTGAACAGCCTAATATGTGTTAAACAGCCTAACTTGATAACGAACGAACCAACTTCGGATACCTTTACTCCCTGTATGACATGTAGTTGCTATAGTGGTTGTCAACACTGATCTATATGACATTCTATATAGATAGTGGTTGTCAACAACATAGCCTCTGAACATCATAAACAAATCAATGGCCAACACAAACTGTTCTAGAAAATGCACTTTCTAACGCATGATTTCGCATTTTATAATGTATAGAGAGATATAACAGTTACCAAATCGCATAGCTTGAGCACGTAGCATGGCAACATTAATGTCCGAGTGATTCCACGTGTACCGCGTATGTACACGCCGTCAAATGTCCGAGCGAAACAAAACAAAATGTAGCTCTACATCTGGGGAGCGATATTTATTTTTTCCTAGGATGGTAGGAGTGACGGGTAGGTTGGGGTTGAGGTAGGTCATATGCTATATATATATATACACACTGTGTATAATATATATATATATATATATATATATATATATATATATATATATATATATATATACAATAATAACGTTAAGTCAACGGTATTCATAAACACGCTGAAAAGAGATTATGCGTGTTGATAGCATGCCAAAAATACGTGATACGTGTCATACATACGCAATTTCATGAGATCTGAGCATGGATGTTGTTGTGACTTAACGTTCCCTTCAAAATGATGCAAATACTGAGAAATGTAATATTTAAACCCCTTCTCTCTTGCTCTGGGGAGCTGGAGGAAAATCATTAGCCAGTCGATGAACATAATCGACTGTAATATTCGGCAAATGTTCAAGACATCTGGAGAAACATACATCCTCTACGTCGTCCATCAGGCTACCGGAAACTAGACACCCCATATCGGTTTCGCAGCCGGAACTAGCATATGCTAACGTGCACATAGTCAATTAGTACGTGTGTGGTAACGATACCCTCATATCATGATTCGATACATATCATGATACTGAACTCACGATACGATACTATTGCGATACTCCAAGACACATGATAAAAGGTTAACAAAAAATGAACTGTTGATTAAAATGCTAATTTTGATATTACATTGTGGGTGAAAATGAATAGGCTTGGACTTGGTGCTGGAAACCCAATGCACAGGACAATAGTGACACCAGAATAAACAAAATACAGAATTATTTTTAGACAAATATGCTTACACGCTGTCACTGACTAGATACATTTAAAATAATGTTGCCCACTTTTTACTGGTAACATAAGAGATTTGGCATTATTAGGACCCACAAATATACCCCCACTGCATTATTATACATTATATTCAACATTATATATAGTAGTTTAATGTAGTAAACACTAAAACTCTTTTATTTTGGGTGAACTATGCACGATTCATATTGTTACATTTTCGGATTGCGATATATTGTGACATAATTATTGTTACGCCCCTAGTAGTTAGACTGAGGTACAGCACTTAATTAAAAACCAAGAAAAACAGTACTGATTTTGGACTGTCCTCTGTATCTGAAGACACTCAAGACTGTAATATCGGTATCAGACACACAAAAAATTAAATCAAGCATCCCTAAAAAGGATGAAGGTGCTAGCTTAATTAACAGGAAACATTTGCATGTTAAAGTGATCCACTTTTAGAAACCTCCTCAAAGATGCTGCCAATGAGAGCACGCAAATGGATTTGGATGCCAAGGCTGCTGTCTTTTTTTCTTACATCCAGTAGATAAGAATGAGCTGCCAACAGGAATGTGGGGCATGTACGTAACAATGACTAATGTCCCTCGCACCGACCTACTGCAAATTCACAAACATATGCTCTTCCACCTTTCTCATATGTATCCCACATGGTTCTTGTTTGGCGACTCTTCATAACTCCCAGATGGACACCTAAGACAACTTTTCCCCATTGTCTTTTGCGCAGTCTACTGGCACTGAGTCAGTTTCACTGTTACAAATTCATGTTCACATAGCCATCACAGAAGGGTTTGAAGGCATGTCAGACATGATGGAATGCATTTCCTTTCTTATGTCATTTGTTTTAATCCCCACCAGGACTCTTGAAGGTGTAATTACCTGTCCTCAAGGCTTGGCACAGAGGAAGCCATTTTTCAAACAAAAACGAAGGTAAATAAATACATGGATGTGCTGTACTGAAGTGTGTGATAAATTAATCTGCCACCACACGCTTCAGCCTTCACTGTTCCCCAATGTTTTCCGAGCGCCTCAAGACTCCCAGCATGCTCCACTTTGAACGAATGTAACCTAAGACCTGCTTACAAAGGCTCAATCGACAATTAACGTCGAGGTGCATTCAATGATTTTAATGAGAGGTGTACCATGAATGTTAATTTAGCGAATCCAGACCAAAAGCCAAAGAGAGCCAAATACATTAATATGTGCTCTCTATTATAGCCAAGAAAAGCAGTGCACAACAACCTGATCTAAGAGTCTGGTGAAGCTCTCTGATTGCAGATGCTCTGTGTCTGGCACAATTCTGCACATTCCCATAAAGTAACAGCTGGATAGGCAGGGCCGTCTGATTATTAGATATCCTAGTTCAGACAGTTTCTGTTGGGAGGGCTGAAATGATAACAAATGGAAGTGAGTCAGGTGGCTTCACTACAGATTTCTCTGAAGACGGGCATCTCTTTCTAGCTCACCGATTCTGTCTTGACCGCAAGCACATTTGCTCAGTTTAAAAACCTAGAGAGCTGACTACCAGGCATAAGCACACTCTAGAGTAGACAAAAGGGAGAGAAATGTAGTTGTGCTGCCTCCTTAGAAACCTCGTATTGGCAAATTCTAAAGGCCCGTTCACACCGGGACGAATATCAGCGCACATTATTCGTCAGGGTTTTCTATCGCAGTTTTTTGTGTTCACACCCAAGCGATTTTCGCTGACGATGAGCCAATTTGTTCTGCAATACCACTCCATAACAGTTCTCTTTTATCAAGATGTTAGTAGTCACTGTCGCGTTTGTCTATAGTTCTTTATGTTCTGACACCAACTAGACCAGCAGCTTTACATTCATCTTGCCTCGCATCTTCCTCGTCTTATTTCTTCCTGACTGTGTAGACGACACTACTTGGCGTATATCTTCTTTGCCGTTGCATATGCGTGCTCGGCAAGACCGTTTGAGCGCCCCCAAGTTGTGTTTTACTGTAACTTCAGAAGCTCCAAACACGTGAGCAAAAGCGCCAATCTCAGTGGTCGTATAGTTTTTGATGTAGCGCGTCAAACTAAAAAAACAAACCCAAGGCGTTTTTTTTTAAAATGGCGCTTTTACGCGTTGGTGTGCACACTCACATTGGCGCCCTTTGTTTAATCACGAGGCGTTAAACATTGGCGAATAGTGAACAGGCCTTAAGGCAGCTTATATTGCATCCTTTGAGAAGAAATACATTGTGGTGAGCTCTATGAAAAAAAAAAATCCAAGATGGCAGGTAAGACCATAGATATGTATATGTACGTACC